TAGGATTGCTTTCAGAGCGGTGAAAGCCAGTTGAGCGGAGAAAACTTGTTTTAATATTTGTGTAACTAACTAAATAAAAAAAACAATATATGTACTAATGCTTGTTTTATTGATTAAAATTATAATAAAAAAGTATAGATAATTTACCTCTTGACTACATCTTGTTGTGATTCAGATAGGCTACCTCTTGCAAAAGTAGATTAAATTATAATCAACGAGATTTTCTTGTTTATTAAAATCATAGGAATGGTTTAAACGTTTAAAAGAAAAGTATAGAAAGTTCAGAAATAGGCTACCTTATGATTCTCTTGTTTACATTTTTCTTGTAAACAAAAAACTGTTATAACTACTTTAGTCCCATAAGCCTAATGTTAAAATTTTGAAATTTTAAGTTCGTTTTAAATTGCATAATATTATCTAATAAAAATTAGTTTGTTTACAAACCATCTCATTATTAGTCTAAGTAGTCTTGTTAAGTTTGGCTGAAATGTGTTCAGCCGTTATTGAGTGATGGTGTTATATTGTTTTTATTGAAGTTGATCCCATAGAGCTTAACCAACTATTCCATTCCAAAAGATAAAAATTATATGGTGCAACACAAATAAACAACCCGATTACCTACCTAGCCTATAGCCTACACTTTACTTTCCTAATCTAACCTTACTTCAAAACACTTAATGTAGTCACGAATACTCATAAACCCCGACCTACCTCCCCACATGCCTAAATTAGATCAGTGTTCAATCTGCGTTTTATCAATAAGTGTAATAACTTACTGTACCGTCGATGTAATTCAACATAATATAACCTATGAGGTATTATCGGATTAAATACTGATTTCGATGCGGTTCGATATATCGCTTATTAAATCCTGATTTCTAACATTGGCTGTTTCTAATCAGCTGGCAACACAAATAGGTTCCCAAGAAAGTAGTCACCGATCCGTATCCCTCCGCTCCTTGTTTATTCTCCGCGCATTGAGAAAGTAGTTCCGTATATTTTCTCGATATTCAGTGAATTCCGCGCCTTAAAAAAATGTTTTAACGGCATTTTCTCGTTCATTAAAATCATAGGAATGGTTTAAAAACGTTTAAAAGAAAAGTATAGAAAGTTCAGAAATACCTTATGATTCTCTTGTTTACATTTTTCTTGTAAACAAAAAAACTGTCATAGCTACTTTAGTCCCATAAGCCTAATGTTAAAAATTTGAAATTTTAAGTTCGTTTTAAATTGCATTAGCATTATCTAATTGAAATTTGTTTGTTTACAAACCATCTCATTATTAGTCTAAGTAGTCTTGTTAAGTTTGGCTGAAATGTGTTCAGCCGTTATTGAGTGATGGTGTTATATTGTTTGCATTGAAGTTGATCCCAAAGAGCTTCGCTCGCTTCGCTCGCTCCGCTCAATAAACTGGTTCATTCAACTTAATTGTTAGAAACTGCTAAAAAACTGTTATTAACTACTTTAGCCTATTAATAAAATAGTGACGTTCAAATTGGAATTTTCCAGTTACGGAGAAGAAACATACGTGTTATTCTAATTTTCATCCTTATCTATCAAATTCAAAAGCATTAAACAGTCTAGAGCATCTTCTAGCAGCGTATGGCGTCGAACCTCTACTACCAAGGCATTGTGTGATCCAATTAATCCAGGACTAAGGAGACAAAGCCTGTAAGAGTGACTCCTTCAAGGCCGCAAGATGGCCTCGCTCCTTCCCGTTACAGGAGACTATAGTAGGCGCCAAATATCCTGGACACTTACGAACATCTAACCAAATACTTGCAAAAAAAGTAGGAGTGGGCATAATTTGTTCATACGTTTACATCTTAGATTTGTTACAATAAAATGTCACATTTCGTCTTTAAATTATTTAATTAATTTGTCTCGATTATTTTCGCAGTATACTACAATAAACCTAAGGCCAAATCATAATACGCAAAAAATATTTATGTATAAGCAAATGTTCCAATTTTTGTTGATTCCAGGCTTCCTTTAAAGGGGTTTGCTCAACTGTATAGATTTCCCAAGCAGAATACTTTGTAAATATACATTTTGTTTTATATTGATCCACATTCAAAATAAAGGGCTTAAATCTATACTAATCTATTACACCCTAAAATGGCGGTATAATCCCTAACTAGCATCTCTAATCAAGAATGATATATGTAGTGTTTGTGTGACTAAAGATAGGGAATAATTACTTCCCAAAATGGTTTTTAGAAAAGGGTTTAGTTCAATATATGGTTTGTTCATGTAGCAATTTCACGAGTAGTTATAACCAACTGAATGGACTGAAGAATGACAGTTATTTTCTCCGTGACGTTTATATACGTTTAGTGCAAATTTTCAACAATTTGAGGAGCATGGTGGGTTGAAAAACAATTAATAGCGCGAAACAGATGCCTTTCGTGCCAAATTCATACTTGCCAATCCAAGTAGTGCATGTAAGTACTTAAAGACTGCCTGTTACTATTTCATTAGCTTTCCATGTATTAAGATAGTTTGTCAAAATATATTTTGAAGTTGTACATCTACTCATAAACTAGTAAAACGACTGGTTATTGCTCCGTTGTAAGACAACGTGTGAATTAAAGCACAGCTTCTATCTCAGGGAAATGTTTGGGAACTAAGACAAGGCTGAGGAATGCCCTCAATATGTTTAAGATCAGGTCGTCTATGGTTTTGGTTCAAGGTCATTAAGTGTAGATATTTTTAATTAATACAATAATAGTACTCCAACACATAGTTTAAAATAACATATACGTTTGTCTACCGATCACTAATTAATGACAAACATTGGTTTAGGAACTAGATGTCAAACCATCCCTATATTCTGGATTGATAACATTTAGGTTATAGACATTTACGTATACGTTATTACCACAAAACGTAGCCATATTTTGTTAGAGAATAACCAAAGATCCTATATGCATAACTCCCCTCAAACCACTCACTTGTTTATAATGGAAAAGCATATAAAATATACAGCAGAAAATAATTCAATGTAAATGTTTTATAACTTAAATTAAATAATGAATTGAAAAATATTATAACGACCACTTAAACATTTTCGTAAATTTTAAGTTCGGTTTATTAAATGTGTTTTGTCTAGAATAATACAGGTTTATTGCAATTATTTTTCATGCAGGTGACATGGTTTGACTTTATTTGATGTGTTATCAACGGATGATTTCATAAATCATACCAGCCAAGTTTCCTATCTCAAATACTTTTACACATCAGATAAGTCACTTTCCTTACCAGGTAAATCATTCAGTATCCAAAGGCAAATAAAAATATTTGAAATACAGATGCGATTGTACAAGAGAAAATTCAAATATTGTTTTATAGCAATGTGTGATCTTATCTCCGAACATTAACCAGCCCGGCTGTGTTATATATTCTGCATAGGTTGTGTAACAAGACAACGAGGCAGTGTTATGTATGTTGTGCCGGAGACCCGCCCACCGCTGGCCTTTGACCTTATGCCCACGCTGTTGGGGGAGTGACCTCTGCTAACTGCTTAGGCTTGGTCGATACTTGCTCGAAATCGAGCATAGCCCTAGTTAAACCTGTGCCTTTTCTGTATTTAGCAACAATTGAATAGCGCGACGACAAATGACAACTGTGTACAAAATAGGATCGGACCAGCGAACTTCAGAGTTAGAGGTGATCGAATTTTCCTTCCTTTGCATACTAGGACACTAAGCTGCTAATGTGGATCTGGAGGGTCGCTACACTATCACATATACTTAATCATTGATGATTAACAGGATTTGAACCTTTAACCTCTCACTAAGACCAGCTCGCTGTCCAAGGTGATCAATATAAACATTTGACAATCAAGACTTTGAGTTATGTTAGTCTCTATCTGATGCTGTCAAAAACTATTACAGACCACTCCTTTGGGAAATCCAGTATAAGGAACATGTTCACTGTGAAAAACTGTTTTACTACAAAATCCTGTAGAGTTTGTAGAAGGATTATGCTGTTTTAGGGACTGACTTTATTTGGAATTCCAATGAAATTTGTTTTACTTTACTTTCGGGTGACACCAAGACAACTCAAATCTGTAGAAAACAATCCAAAGGAGCAACGACTTATGGTAAAAGTGCACAACAATAAATTTAGGTTGGACAGAGAGACTTATCACTACAGCTAATCATCCAGAAACATCATTTTAATTAGGAGAAAACCCCGAGAAGAAATTTTTGTGAAACTGTGTACAAGTAGCTATTCATCTTTGTATTCAGATGAAGACTACTATGGTCGGAAGTTGTCCGCCATTGTATCCACGCTCCAGTTCCGGTTTCCTGTGTCCTTCCACGATTATCGAAATGTGAGGACCGAGGACCTTGTGCCCATCTCTGTCTAGCCTTGGAGAGAGAGAGGATTCCAGCCTCTCGCCGGGTCCCACAACAGTCATCATTGCATTACGTCTATTGCGAATGTTGCCTCATTAGTTCGTCCTTCTATACCGTGAAACATTGTGTCCTCGCATGGTTCGGACTTGTTTATCACAGTTGGATAATTTATGCGAATGCTATTCATAACGGTGTGTAGTTTTTACGAGTCTTTCTGGAGCAGGAAGAGAAGTTTTTCGTGAAGAGAAATAGGCCTAAATGTTTTTGGGGAAAAAATAATCTAGTCAGTGTGAACTTACTAGATGGTGTTACAGTGACAAATCTGTTAACCATGCGTTATAATTCTTCGTCTTCATCGTGACAAGCCATTAATTAGTAGGTACACGTCTGTTAAATCTTTTTGGTTCCTTCATGTTGCATATTAACATTACAAAAGTGATATTCGTCCTTGTCTTGGGCCAAAACATCCCTGAAGGTGCATTTCCATTTCGTCCCATGCATAAGAGGGTGAGTATACAATATACAGCCTGGTATAAATACCTCGAGGTCAATTGAATTTTTTTACATAATCCTATGACTACTAGATTTCTACTCTTCAGCCTAAAGTCTAGAGTGTACAGTTTGTAGTTTGTTTACCTTCCACCATAGAGATCGTGGGTGAGAGGTGAGCTCTCGTCGTCAGAGAAGTTGTCGTCACTGCCCTGCTCGTTCAGCAGGTGAGGGCGAAGCCCCGTCATCGCCGTGCCTGCAACAGGAACAACAGAGTGTAAAAACAGCGCCTGGAAAGTCCGACTGATCCGAGTGTTCTTGTAGGCAAACAAGGAATTGATGTTATTTCTCAAAGTCAATTTATTCGGTTGACAGATGCGATCATTGAGAAATTTATGGGTTTTTGCAAGGTCTTCAAGCAGGACAGTCTGTTTTTGCGAGAAAAAATACACTATGTCCTTTAAAATTTGAAGGAATGTGTCTTATCAAAGTTACGGGTAAATCCATAAATCTGATCACTAAATATCAATTTCCTAATTTTATACAGTATTACCGTTTTCTGTTTTCTTTATTTGTGGCAGAAATTCTCTGATCACGTGATAGTGATTTACCAAACCTTCACTGCCTTACCGGTACTGTAATATATCCGGCCACGCCTTATAACCAGAGAAATACAAGTACTTGTATGTCTCAAGGCCCAAGTGTCAACCTCCACCAACAAAATCCTTTAGTCCTTGAAAGTTAATGTTTTGCAGTTTTGGAATTCATTTGAAGAAAACGTCAATAATATTTCAATTAGGCTCCAAAATAATGTTTTACCTACAAATAGTTTATGGTAATTATTATTTACTAGTATACCTGTTGCTCGAAATCGAGCAATTGTCAAGTAACGGTATTATACAGAAGTTATTTTAAAACTACAGTAATAACAGTCATAATTTTCGATCAGTTTAAAAGACCCGACTAAATGCTTATGTAATAAATTGAAATACTCACGCTATTTAATAGCGCTTTGAAATAATAAACGCTTCTTGTAAAAATATTTTAGCATTTTTTGGACCCGGCCTTATTTTTTTAGTGTTTTCTACAAATGTTTCCCGACCTAAAGCTGTTTCCAGTAATCATTTTTGCATGTATTAATTTGATCTGACTTTAGTTAGGTTTACTTTACCAATGTGAAAACATGATGTGTATATTCTTCATGGTTTTGTTTTACTTCCAAAATAAGTTGCTTAGTATAACTGGCAAAAAATATATCTCCCCAAGTGATTGTGTTCCTTACTGTGAGACCAGGCCTCTCCTCTACTCTTCTCATTCGTATAAGATTTCCTATTAATTGTCTCCACCTCCTGTTTTCAATATTTCTCCTTTAAACTCAAGAAATTTTCTGTTCTTCCAACAAAACTGATTGACTGTTTAGATGTCTATAACCTCCCAAATATTAAAAACATCAATATTTACTCCCAAAAAGCTGGTGAGATTATTTTTATATACAGCTGTTTTTGTCGTTGAATTTGTTTTCAACGTAATTCTTATGGGAAAATTGCGGCCTTTGAGAGCGTATCGTGCCCTTAAGGGTAAGAGTTTTTAAATTCTAAAACCTTTATGCAAAACTACGAAGTGAGACGAATTATTTCACACCTCAGACGTTAAAATCGGTCCAGAAATAACGGAGGAGTTTTGTTCACAAAAAACAGCCCTCACGTACGTAAGACGTATAAAAGGTTGACAATAAGACGCAATAATGTCTTAGAAGCTTACAGATTTTTTAAATTTTTTAACTTAGGCCACCTATAATAAATAACCTTACATTTCAATATTTAGCTTATCACCTTTGTCAACACACTTACTGTTTTGTTTTAAATTGATCGGAGGGAGTGAGTTAGTTATACGTGTCTTAAATTAAAGAAGTGGGTAGACTAAACCCAACTTTCGTTTTGTCCTCAATATTAATTTCCAAATAAGGCCAAATCATTAGCAGTACTCTGAACAGCAACTCGGATCAACGGGATCAACCCACTCACATGCTTTACGTAAATTATGTCATTGATAGATCAAATTAATCTTTAAGAGCGTAGAATGTCACTACACCTCTTATTTTCCCTAGTTGTCTTTAAGTCCAGCTGTTTGTTAACACAGAATGAAAGGCCTTATTGTTCCGAGGTTCCCAAGTTTCGCTACAGAAATCATCCGTTCCCACCTAATTCCTCCATGCCCCAGTTCCCACAGTTCCTCGTCCCAAACTACAAAACAACTACAGGACATTCTGGTTACTTGAAGTGATAGTAAAATACTGCTGTAGTTCATGTTGTTGTGAAAGGGACCCAAGAAAAAATCCGTTTGTAGTTAGTTATCGATTATAGTCATCACTTTTAAATCATTGAAGGTTACATTTAGAATTTCAAACCGTAGGCTAAACATAATTTGTTGTATATAAAGCGACAAAAATTATTAGTCTATATTCACTATGGAATTATCTTTTTTCTTGACTTTGTTTCGGACAAAAGTATTTCACAATAATTTATTATGAATCCAAAAAGAATATGATTATATGTAATGTGATGCAAGGACATGCACAACTAACACTTTTATCATAATGAATTAGTATTGATGCCTCCTAGAATATTTTCTGTCTGGCAACCTATTAGTATTTTCTACATATTTATACTATTTTCTACATAGCTAGCTAGTTATCAACCTATAATCTAAATTACAAACGAAAGTGCGTGTTCATGATATGCTTTCTAACGTAGTTTATCATCATTATAACGCACAATGAAGTTGGAACACTGTTAATTGTGGCTAATGCGTTACGTAGTTAACTGATAATTTGAATACTAATCGTAGATTCTAACTCATTATCAAATCTTCACTCACCACAGTTTTCATCACTTAAGTGAGCACCATTTTCATTCGCCAACGTTTTGCAGGATCATTTTTTTAAGAGGTTGGCAACCTCTTTTAACTTTGTATTTGCCCGTCCACATAGATTAACTGCCCGTGCGTGGAACGTAGTATTAATAGTCAAAGAACGTATCCAGCAAAGCAAGGAGTGAGCCGGTACAGTACAAAGGTGAACTGTACTGATAAAATGTTTTCGGCAGTGATCAGGATCCGAACCCACGACAACACTGCCTTGGGACCGTCGTCCGTGACGCTACCGACTCACCTAAATTGAATTGAAAACACGGAGACAATTAAAATACAGTAAATAACAAATACTCAGTGCCAAAAATACTGCTCGGCTGATAAAAACATCCATAGTCCTAGGTATAGCTTATTTTCTAGCATTAGAAACATGATAATAGTAAAAAGGAAAATCAAGCTTCTTGTTCAAATGTTTATTGCGGACATTTTCCATCACGATGGCAAAAAACAATACACAACGTTTCGGGATCTGGAACCTGATCCCGTCCTCAGGTAAAAAAAAAACTTAACCAACACATTACAACTAACAATACACAAACGCCTAACCTAAGTTGGAGTACACTACAGAGAATACGTAAATGTGAGGTAACTGAAATTGTTTTGAATACTGTACGGACGAAAACCATAAAATCGTTTATGATAAACACAGACATCATGAGGAAATGCCATTTCGTCTTGAAGTTGAAGATATGTTAATAATGCAGTGAAAGCATGAAATGCCAACTGAAGTTTTACACATCAGCCCATGTATTACTGTTCGACGTTTCCTGGAGAACCGACAATTCAACACAGATATTTGCAGTGTTTGAATAAACTTGCATAACAAGCGCATAAGCGTGACTCGTGTCCAATGCATTTCATGCGCTATGATAAGGAGGTTCTCTCTATCAGGGTGCGTGCAAACTAGGTCCGTTCTATATTATGCTAGGAACTGGTACATTTGTTTTTTTAATTGGACATAGATGTAAACGATTGGTTGATATGGAATGATATTGTATAGGAATAGACTGTCAACGTTAGTTTTTATATACATTTTGATTATAACATAATCAACATTCTGTGTAAAAATAAGATTTTATTTGTTTTATTCTATACCCATAATAACATTGCAACAGGTTTATTATTTATTACAACTTATTTGATAGCCTATACTAATCTTTTAGTAGTTAAATTATTTGGTTTTGTAACTGAATAAATTAAATAACTTACAGTTTGAAATGAATTAATATGGCTTTACCAATAAAAATTAAACAGTATGAAACTTCTGTGAAACAGGGAATTTATATGGAAATGCAGTGAAATTGTGGAAATGTAGCCTGAGGTCAAGCTGTTGGTTTTAGGTAACGTATTCTATTGTACTGTATAGCAAAACTGTGATATTATTTTCAAAATTAGTACCGTACTAGCCCAAGCTTCACTTTTAAATTAATTAAGGACTAATTAAGGTGCAAAAAGATGATAGAGAAGATTTTTTCGATCAAGTACTTAACAATTATTATTACACTAATAAATAATTGTTACCCTGCAAAATAACTCTCCTCTTTTGCAAATAGTTTATTCAGTAGGACAACGCTTAATCCAGCTAACGCACATTCAATCTATCTTATAATCTGCAAAGGTACGTTTATGCAACTAAACTTATCATTTATTTATACTACACACATTATTGTTTTGCCTCGTGTTTGTGACAGGAGATATGTCTGTATGTGTGTTTTACCCATAGTTCTATCAGGGACCACTCTGTTTTGGCGCGAGTCCACAGTCAGCTGTTTATTATTCATATTGGACCGATAAGCGCGTTGGAGGAAATATCATCAATCAAACAAGTGGTGAGAAAGTTAAGTGGTATAACTGATCCGCTACTTGGGCAACTGTTGTATAATATAGAGTATTTGGATTAACGTGCTTAAGTTTTGTAATTCCTATATTATGTAAAAACCTTAAAATAGATTGTCTGAATCACTGCTTGCTTGCGCTGAAGATATACCCGAAACACGACAAACACACCCTCTCTTAAACCACACAGAACTGAAATAACAACGTGTATATCATACTTCATACTTAATATTATAAATGTGAAATGTTGTGTGTTTGTTTGAAGTTCAATCACGCATTAACCACTGGTCGGATTGGGTTGACATTTGGTATGATTATAGCTCACATTCCCGAAAAACATATAGACATATTCTAATCTCTTCAACTACACAAGTTGGTTCTATGATATTCAATAGCATTAAAAAGTCATAAGGTTTACCGACAGAGTGCAGCACTATAAATCTGTTTTGCATTTATGACAACAGCTAAAATAATTTGAACAAAGCAGCAACA